TACTGTTTTGGGATCTAACTTCTCAATGTTTGGGTTAAATACTTTAGCCTCAGTAGGGCTCCCCCACACACTTAAGTGTTTAGTGAGGGTACTCTTCCTGTCCACAACTCATACGGTGTTTTGGGCACCGACTTACTTTGTACTCTATTGAGAATATGAATGTTGGTTTTTAACGCCTCCATTCACAGGCTCAACTGTAAGGTGGAGTAACTTATCATACTGCCCACCATATCCATCAGGGTACGATTGATTCTTTTAGCTACTCTATTCTGTTGAGGTTCGCCCGGTGTAGAATACTGGGCTACTATGCCATTCTTTTAGGGTACGCCGACCGTAGTACCCCCTACGGTCAGACCTGACTATCTTAATCTTTAAATTGCGTTGAATTTCAACTTTTGCCTTTAAATATCTACATTTATCCAATGCTTCTATTCTTTCTTTCATTAGATAAATGTAGCCATAACGGGAGTAATCATTTGTGAATGTTATGAATGAATCATAACCATCCATACTCTTTACAGGAAACGGACCACATACATCTATATCAATAATCTATAGAATTCCTGCGCTTTGTTTGACATCTTTTCTTAACTTTCTTTTCATACTTTTTTTATGCATTCTCTGCATTGTTCTAAATCTGAGAGCTCTAATGGAGGAAGAATATTATTATTAACTGGTCTTTTATTCTCCCCCTCGAAATATGGCCTAAACGATAGTGCCATAATTTCGACGATGCATCGTGAGCTCTCTTATACCACAATTTCTAGATTAACTTTCTGTCACCAACTGCTTTATCAGCTGGGTAGCATATGTCTTTGAAGAGCCACTGAACTGACTGTTTATTCTATCAAGGTATTCGGTGACCGTGTCACACTCTGGGATTGAGCCCACAATTACAGGCTCAATCGTGTTCTTTATCACAGCCAAAAATTTCTTGTTGGCAGTGACCCTCTTCCTATGCTCAAAGTCATAGGACATCTTTTGAGATTCAAAATCTCTCTATTTAGTTGCCCAAGCGGCATCAATCTCGTTTGTCTCCCTCACCAGTGCCATAGGATCAATGGGACACGGTGAGGTGACTACCCAATCCAACTCAAACAAGATGAAGGCCATGTCAAAACATTTCTTAACACAAAAATAATACCATTTGCATACCTTAATTCCAACGTTAGTCAAAATCAAAACATATAACTGTTCATATACACTAATTCTACATCACCATTGGGCAAAAATAGAATTAATATATAAAACAATTAAAATTCACAACTGTTGTTACACACTAATTCTACATCACCGTTGGGTAGAAATAGAATTAATGCATAAAATCTTTAAAAGTATGATATTGTTATTAACAACGTTGGTCAGAAAATATCAACATCATAATCAAGTCAAAATCTCTTTTTCTCCAATTAAATATCACGTTGGTTCAAAATAACTGGAGAATAAACATTTCTTTAGCAGCGGAAAAACTTTCTTTTTCTCCAATTAAATATCACGTTGGCACAAATTAACTGGAGAATAAACAATTTCTTTAGCAGCAGAAAAATAATTCAATTTAATGAATTTTGCCCACAGGACAAACTACTTTTTCTATTTTCTTTGAGCTATTTTTCATTTTCTAGAAATAAACAATTACTGGAAAATAAAAAAGGAAAAACGGATCTTGATTCTTTCAATGTTTTCGGCCCAACCGGCAAAGCGGCCCACGGCCCACGCCCACGCGCGCTGTCCCACGCGCTCCCCCGCGCCCAGGCCGTAACCTGGGCCTAGGCCAGGAATTTGGCCTCGCGCTCTCGCCCGCCTAGGCCGCGACGCTAGCCCACGCATCTGGTGTCGTTGGAGCCGATCGAACGACCGAGCGGCCGTTTCGGTCGGCCAAAAACAGCGCCGCGGCCGGTGCCCAGGAAACCCTAGTTCATTCGCCCCTTTGCTCTCTCTCTCTCTCTCTCTTCGCCGCTCTCTTCTCTACTCTGCACAGCGAGCAGCGACCAAGAGCGAGCGAAGGCGGTGGAGCGAGGCAGCTATGGCGCCGTCGCCGGCCCCCTCGCCGACGCGCGTGCTCCCCAACAGGTGAGCATGCCGCCATCGAGTGGCCTGGCCGCGGCGCCCCCTTGGCCGAGCTCGGCGAGCAGCTCCCCCTGGCTCAGCCCTTCTTCTCCCGCACTGGCGAAGGGCCATCCCGACGCACGACGAGGTAGGTCCGTTCCCCCTTTCCCCTTCTTCGATCTAGATCTGCTTTTCTCTTATCCGAACCAGTGTTGGGGATTAGGGTTTAGCTCTAGGGTTAGGGTTTCTTTTCCGATTCGATTTGACCGATTCGGTTTTCTCTTCTTTTGATTTCTTTTCTTTTCGGAGTTCATCTGAATGGTGATCTTGGGTTAGGGTTTTGCTTTTCTTTTGGTTTGATTCGAGATCTCGAATTCAGGTTTTCTTTTGGTTTGATTCGAGATCTGCGAGATTATCCCCTTCCCCTCTTCCCCTTCTTTTCTTTTGAATCTGCTTCTTTTGAATCAAAATCGAGATGGGGATTTGTTCTAGGGTTCTTGAGATCCTTTCCCCTTCCTCTTCTCTAGTTTAGGGTTCGGCTTTGATTCTGTTCTAGGCCGAATCCTTCTTCCTTTGTTCTTTCTTTCACCCAGTTATGGTTAGCGGTTCGGTTGAACCTTTTCTTTTGATTTCTTTTCACGGTTTTGATTCCGATTGGGATGAGGATGGGTTAGTTCATCCGAATTGGGTTCACTATTGTTCTTCCCCTTCACCCAGTTAGGGTTAGGGTTGGGGAACCACTGTTCTTCTTTCCTTTTATTCCTTTCCTCAGATCCAAACTAGATCTGTTCTGTCCTTGCCGTGCGCCGGTGAGAACGGTGATGCGACATCTTTTCCCCGCGCGGTGGCGGTGGTGAGCGGGGTTCCAGTGATGTCCGCCACCCCTGGTCCCTTTTCTCTTAGCTTTTACTCGGTTAGGGTTAGGGTTACACACTGACAACCTGTCTCTGATACCATTTGTTAAAATCGTGGTGTGCCTTTCTGTGTAACCGTAGATCTGGCTAAGGCTCCTCGCCTTAGCGTAGTTGGGCCGCAGCAACGTAGACTCCAAGTTCGCCCTGGATGCTGCCTCGCGGACGCCGATGCTCGGCCCGGTGGTGAGGAGGCGAGGTGGCGATCCAGTGGACCGGTGGAGACCCTGCAGAGGCGACGGCGGTGTGGTGGGACATCCCATCGCTGGTAGCACACTATAGATCGGATTAGGGTTTCTATCGGTGGGATCATGGCGGCTCAGACCAACCTCGTGACTCGAGCCGTGATCCCCACCTATCTTTATATGTGCTGTGCGACAGGGGCCCACCAACCTATTAGGGTTGTGTCGGTGTTTCGGACCGGGGGGTCCTCAACCAACTAGTAAATTTGTACCGCGTGTACCCAATCCCGGATGGTGATGCAAAGAGACACAAGGTTTATACTGGTTCGGGCAATGGGTGCCCTACGTCCAGTCTGAGAGATCGATCTTGTATTCCTTGCACCGAAGTGCTTGTAGTAGGGGGTTACATGCTGGGTGAGAGAGTGAGCTAGTCCAAGGTCTCGGCGCGGAGGGGTGCGGGCTGCTTGAGACGTTGCTCTCAGGCCGCGGGAGAGTGTGCGTGAATTGAGTGAGTGTGCTTGTGCGAGTCCAGGTCTAATTGCCCGTGTCTCTCCCTTTTATAGTCGAAGGGGAGACAAGGCTAGTACATTTGCTAGCTACACGGCGTCGTGCGGTCGGAGGCGGCATGTCTGTGCCCTGTAGCCTGTTCCTGTGATGGCGTGGCCGTCGGAGTGGTCCGTCCTTGAAGTACTGGGGCGACGTGCCGGTCACATCCGACCCTATGCGTCATGGAAGCTCTAGTGCTATCCCGCGCGGCAGTCGGCGTGTTGGTCATCGTGTGTTGACTGCGCGGGGAGCCGAGGCTCAGTTGGTGCCGAGGCCGAGTCATCGTGGGAGGCTCGGCAGGCGTGAATCCCGGAGTTGCCGAGACCCTCAAGTGGACAGCCGAGGCTTGGAGGGAGTAGTTGGTGACATACACTGATTCGGAGGCTATGGTGTCCCGGACTTGCCCCCCATACCGCGTTGTCTCTGGGGCGGGGGTTAGGTGGCACAGTGTAGTGCATGCGCTAATCGTGGGCACAGCACCAGAGCACAGTGGCCGGTAATCCCCGCCGTGCCCGGTCCAGGACGGTATGGTGTAGATGTGACTTCCCGTCTGGTCGATCGCTCCGCAGTGTCGAGCCGTCGTCCGGCTGATATTGCGGGAGTGGTTGGCGCATTAATGGGACATGACGCGCTGTCGGGGAGACTGACCGAGGCGGAAGCGACGGGTCGTTGTCGAGCCGGCTTCGAGCGAGACGGGGAATCGACATCTCGTCCGAGGCTCCCCGCGCGGGGCCTCGGGCGAGATGGAGATTCGGTTCCCTGTCGAGGCTCCCACGTGAGGCCTCGCGCGAGGCGGAGATTTATCCGGCCGCCGAGGCCTCCCGTACGAGGCCAGGAGCGAGGCGGAGAATCGGTGGGTTCGGACGAGGCCGGGGTTCAACAAACGGTTTATCCTTTGGCTTTGTTTTTGATGGTGTTTAAGTGATTTCTTTCGTTATACGCTCGGGGTACCCCGTTCTATGGTACCCGACACAGGTTGGGCGCCCCCGATTAGGGCGCAGAGGCAAGGGCCCAATAGACCGTTGGGCATATTGGTGGAGATCAACTAACACCCTTATATAAGCTGAAATGGAACAAATAGCTCGAGCTTATCTTTTTTGGCTCACATCATAGACACCTAACTAAAACATAGGAAAAATGATATTTTAAATTTGTTTCAAAGTACGTGTCAGCACCAATCAACAAGCTAATCACTCATCATTGGTCGATTGTTGTATATCAATTGATTCTGTCGCGTATTCATGAGCAGGTGCAGGTAGGTGCTGATCAACTGATAGACTGATAGAGCCACATTGCTGAAGTTGAGTCAGTAGACATGAGAGCGGACGGGGACGACGACGGCAAGACCTCGGCGTTCCGGTGCCAGGACGCGGCGCGGTACACGGTGGCGGCCGTGGTGACCGTGCTCATCGTCGCCGTCGTCGTCACCTCCCTGAAGGTGGTGCTCCGTCCGGAGTCCCTGCGCCTCTCCGTCGTCGACGGCGTGGTGTACTCCACTCCGCTGCCGGCGAGCGAGGCGGTGACCCTGCAGCTCAACCTCCGGGCCGAGAACCCCAGCGGCCGCGCCCGGATGTACTTCCTCAACGTCACCGCGTACCTCTTCGACGGCGCGACGCCGGCGTCGACGCCGACGCCCGACGAGGACTGCATCATCTTCTTCAACCCGACCGACGAGGCCGTGCGGCAGCCGGCAGGAGATGGCGGTGGACTTGATGACGAGCGTGGAGGCGACGAACGACCCTGGCGTCATGAACCAGACCTACTTCGAGCTGCTGTATGCGGATGGCCGCGTCATCGGCGACATGACGCTACGGGTGGACGGCAGCCTCGTGACGGAGGTGAGCTCCGGGTTCAACATGACCCGTCTGCAGGTCACCTACTACTGCCGGCCGCTCCTCGTCGGCGGGAGCAAAGGTGGCAAGGTCTCCATGGGCAGGAAGGACGTGCTCTGCACGGATAACCTGGGCAGTCAATGATTGATTCTCCATGGTTACGCCGCCCACTTGCAGGAGTAGTTAGTCCATGAGGGAACCAAAGTGTGTTTCTTGTTTCAGAATCAAGCGCGGTAGAGTCCTGTGTATTTTGTTGTTATTATGTAATCTATCTACCCTGGCACCTGTGTATTTTAAATTCTGGGCTGTGGCAGGCGAGTTCAATGAGAACTAACGTACTATGCAACTTCATTTTGTTTAACGCTCGAATCAAAGCACATACCGCAATATATCGGATACGAGGGGTGCATGGTTACTCCTTCTCGTTGTCCATGTTTAGACATATGTATAGTATATTAAATATAGACTAATTACGAAATTAATTACACAGTTTACGACTAATTTACGAGATGAATCTTTTAAGCCTAATTAATCTATGATTTGACAATGTGATGCTACAGTTAACATGTGCTAATGACGGATTAATTAATTTAATTAATTCATCTCATGGAATGCTGACGGATTTTGTAATTTATTTTTTTATTAGTATCAAACACCCCATATAATACTTTCATGTGACACCTCCTAAATTTTAGTCACTGAATCTAAACACTCTTTTATTCTTTTTAAATTTTGAAACAGTATAGAGACGTAAGCACTCACATATATATGCACACACCCTCCTCTTATTGAAAACTCCAATGACAAAGCCGAATACAGGTCTTGATGATGATATTGTCGAAGTCATTATATATAGCCTATCTCGTTGTGGATGTGGGTATCTAGAACACAACTTTTTCTCTTAAAATTAAGGTTTTGCATTCAGTATCCTATTTTTCTCTCCAAAAAACATGTGGTTTTGTAACTCTTAAAAATATATTGGGAGAAAAAAAGAAGGTCATCTCCAAGAGTTTTCAATAATCCACTCCTAAAATATAGAAGACAATTTTACATCAGGAATCCTATACTATTTCTAGATTATTGTAACCATATTTATATATTCTTTCTCTCTCGTACATTTACATCGAGAATCCTTTCCTACTCCTTATTCTTTCCCACACCCTTTCACCTTTAGTTTGACCGACAAATAGGCATGGGAAAGCAGTATCCGCGCGACCGCAACTACGCGCAAAGTTACGCACGACGGGGGAGGATTTTCCAAGTGCGTAAATTTTAGGAGCACGAATTAGGAGTTGTTGGAGAGGGATTTTTTCTCATCTTGCTAAAACTAAGGATTGGTAAGGAAAATATGGTACTTTTGGAGATGCTCTAATACAGTCAGAAGTAATTGGCATGGATATCAAATTAAAGATTATATCATGTACGTAAGTTGCCTTCATGCAATGAGAGGGATTGATATCACGTACGTAACGCCCTGTTCGTTTGGGCTGGTTTGGCTTATAAGCCATGACTGAAAGTACTATTGGCTGATTTGGTGTGAGACAAAAATACTGTTTGTTGACTGATAAGTCATAGCTTATAAGCCAAATACGACCAAGCAAACAGGCAGGATACCCAACCCTCTAGTCCTGAAACACAAACACTCCAGAAAAATAGGTTTGACTCATCTCAACCCACTCGGACCCTCAACCAAGCACAACCTAACTAAACGTGCGCACATTATTATTCATTCGATCATGGTGAAGCTGCTACATACTCAACATCCGTGTGTGCGTGGTGGTGGTTCGATCTGTGTACACGTGTGGCCTCACTTCCTTGCTGCCTATATAACCGAGTGTCCGAGTTGCACCGCAAGCCAGTGAAGTATCTAGAGACACTTAGAGAGCAAGATACACTGCACGACACATACCCTGATCTTACTTGGCACGGCTAGCCATGGCGGATGCTGTCGTCTTGCTTCTGTTCCTTGTGCTCAGCCACAGCTTGTCCTGTTCTTCTTCTCCTACTACTAGTGTCCCTGTCGTCCGTGCGGCAGTAGACGCGGAACACGAGTACACCTTTGTGGCGATCAGCTCGCTGAAGCCCAAAGCTCCCTGTCGTCCTGTGCATTTTGTTGTTATTATGTAATCTATCTACCCTGGCACCTGTGTATTTTAAATTCTGGGCTGTGGCAGGCGAATTCAATGAGAACTAACGTACTATGCAACTTCATTTTGTTTAACGCTCGAATCAAAGCACATACTTCAATATATCGGATATTATTCTTTTTTAATTTTGAAACAGTATAGAGACGTAAGCACTCACTCACACACACACCTCTTATTGGAAACTCCAATGGACCAAGCCGAATACAGGTCATGATGATGATATTGTCGAAGTCATTATATATAGCCTATATAGGCATCTCGTTGTGGATGTGGGTATCTAGAACACAACTTTTTCTCTTAAAATTAAGGTTTTGCGTTGAGTATCCTATTTCTCTCTCCAAAAAACATTTAGTTTTGCAACTCCTAAAAATATATTGGGAGAAAAAAAGAAGGTCATCTCTAAGAATTTTCAATAATCCACTCATAAAATATAGAAGACAATTTTACATCATGAATCATATACTATTTCTAGATTATCGTAACCACATTTATATATTCTTTCTCTCTCGGACATTTACATCGAGAATCCTTTCCTACTCCTTATTTTTTCCCACACCCTTCCACCTTTTTAGATTGACCGACCGATAGCCACGGGAAAGCAGTATCCGTGCGACCGCAACTACGCGCAAAGTTACGCACGACAGGGGAGGATTTTCCAAGTGCGTAAATTTTAGGAGCACGAATTAAGAGTTGTTGGAGAGAAAATTTTTCTCATCTTGCTAAAACTAAGGATTGAGAAGGGAAATAGGGTACTCTCGGATATGCTCTACTACAGTCAGAAGTAATTGGCATGGAAATCAAATTAAAGATTATATCGTGTACGTAAGTTGCCTTCATGCAATGAGACGATTTATTTCGTTCACGATGAACCCAAGCCCTCTAGTCCTGAAACACAAACACTCTAGAAAAATAGGTTTGACTCATCTCAACCCACTCGGACCCTCAACCAAGCACAACCTAACTAAACGTGCGCACATTATTATTCATTCAATTCGATCATGGTGAAGCTGCTACCTACTCAACATCCGTGTGTGCGTGGTGGTGGTTCGATCTGTGTACATGTGTGGCCTCACTTTCCTTGCCTATATAACCGAGTGTCCGAGTTGCACCGCAAGCCAGTGAAGTGTCTAGAGACACTTAGAGAGCAAGATACACTGCACGACACATACCCTGATCTTACTTGGCACGGCTAGCCATGGCGGATGCTGTCGTCTTGCTTCTGTTCCTTGTGCTCAGCCGCAGCTTGTCCTGTTCTTCTTCTCCCACTACTAGTGTCCCTGTCGTCCGTGCAGCAGTAGACGCGGAACACGACTACACATTCGTGGCGATCAGCTCGCTGAAGCCCAAAGCTGCTTGCACTGGACACAGGGGTACGTGCACGATCCCATCGAAAACACGCACGCACAGCTGATTTTTTTTTTTTGATCTGAAGCTAGTGATACTACTGAACGAACTGAATGATGTTGGTTGTTGCAGTGTCTCCACCTCATGGTCACCAGAACGCCACGTGGCTACGACTGAGTCTCTCCCATGGCCCCTGCTCGCCGCCGTCGTCGCACCGCCGCAAGGGGCCGTCATTGGCCGAGCTGCTACGGCAGGACGAGCTCCGCGTGCAAAACATCCAGATGACGCTGCTGTCTGCTGGTGATGACGACAATGCCGCAGACGATGAGAAGGTCAAGAAGCGCCCGGCGAAAAGCACCACAACCGCTATGGAACACGGGCCCGTAGTCGACGTCAACGTCGGCTCAGCAAGTAGCATTTCCACGGTACTACGAACGAAACTATTTTTTTCTTTGTCACCAAGATTATTCAGTTTTCTTTTCTGTCTAATTATTAAGTAAGCGCGCGATCGATCGATCCATCTCCTTTTTCCTGCAGTCTAGGATTGATACGATGGCCACCGGCGGCGGCGGCAGGAGGAGGCGGAGCATGCCGGGGACGGTGCAGACGATGATGGTGGACACCGCCAGCGACGTGCCGTGGGTGCAATGCCACCCGCCGCCGACGGGCGGCAGCAGATTCTTCGACCCAACCAGGTCGCCCACCTACGCCCCCTTCCCGTGCGGCTCGCCGGCGTGCGCGCGTCTCGGCCCCTACGGCAACGGCTGCATCAACGGACAGTGCCAGTACCGCGTCACCTACCCCGACGGGTCGTCGACGCTGGGCACGTACAGCTCTGACCTGCTCACCATCACCCGCACCACCGCCGTCCGCAGCTTCCAGTTCGGCTGCAGCCAGGCCGAACAAGGCCTGAGCCAGGCCAGCACCAGCTCATCCGGGACCATGTCGCTCGGCGGCGGCCCGGAGTCGCTGGTGTCCCAGACGGCGGCCACCCACGGCAACGCCTTCTCGTACTGCGTCCCGCCGACGCCCAGCGACGCTGGGTTCTTCGTCCTCGGCAAGCCGCCGTCTTCCAGGACGAGGACGTTCGTGGCGACGCCGATGCTGAGGTTCACCCAGGCGCCCACGCTGTACCGGGTCCTCCTCCGCGGCATCACCGTCGCGGGGCAGCGGCTCAACGTGCCGGCGACAGTCTTCGCCGCCGGCTCCGTGATGGACTCCCGCACGGCCATCACGCGCCTGCCGCCGACGGCGTACCAGGCGCTGCGCGCCGCGTTCCGGAGCAGGATGGGCGCATACCGCCTGGCGCCGCCTAAAGGGAGCCTCGACACCTGCTACGACTTCACCGGCGTCATGGTCGTCAGGGTGCCGAGGGTCGCGCTGGTGTTCGACCGGAACGCCGCCGTGGAGCTGGACGCCTCGGGGATCCTGCTCGACGACTGCCTCGCCTTCGCGCCCAACGGCGACGACCGCGCTCCGGGGATCATCGGCAACGTGCAGCAGCAGACCATCGAGGTGCTCTACGACGTCGGCGGCCGGTCCGTGGGCTTCCGGCGCGGCGCGTGCTGATCGAGCTCAGCTACGTGCTGCAGTGCGGCCGGGCAGGCTGCCGGCGGCGTACCGTGCATGTCCCGCTAGCTTTGTGCTACCAAT